CCTCCACCCCTCACGCACAGCGACGCTCTAACCACTGGGCAAGCCGGCCAGGGCAAGGCAGCTCCATTTTTAATTTTTTGAGGAAACTCCATACTGCTTTCTAGAGTGGCTGCACCAGTCTGCATTCCTACCAACAGTGCACAAAGGTTCCCTTTCCTCCGCATCCTCGCCACCACTTGTTGTTTGTTGATTTATTGATGGCAGCCATTCTGACAGGTGTGAGGTGATATCTCTTATACAACTCAGCAAAAAACAACACAATTTAAAAATTGGCAAAGGACCTGAAAGGCACTTCTCTAAAGAGGACATACAGATGGCCAGTAGACATATGCAAAGGTGCTCAACATCACTAATAATCAGAGAAATGCAAATTAAAACCACACTGGGAGACTCAGTTTTCATTTTTTCCTTTATGTTTTCTTCAAACTCAAGGGTGATATCTAAACACGGTTACAGCCTGGCCGGGCGTGGCTCAGCGGTAGGGCATTGACCTAGGATCCAGGAGATCAGGGTTCAATTCCCGGTCAGGGCACATGCCTGGGTTGCACGCTAGGCAGCTGATCAATGACTCTCATCATTGATGTTTCTATCTCTCTCTCTCTCCCCCTCCTTTCCTCTCTCTGAAATAAAGATATGTTTTAAAAATAAATAAATAAATAAATAAATACATAAATAAATAAATAAATACATAAATAAACAAACACTGTTACAGTATCACTGGTCATGAGCACTTCCAGAGAAAATGTCACAATTAAAAACACATCTGTGCAGCCTGAGGGCTTTGGGTAATAGGAAGACTCCACCACTTGTCTTTCTGGCTTACGCATTTGCCAGAGCAAAAATAAACCCAGAAAACCACTGGGCTGCATCCTGGATAAGAGTCCCACACTTAGCCCACTACACAAATACAACACTTTTAAGAGCCCTAGAACCATTCTCCCCACCACCATGGGGCAATCAACAAAGCCCCCAGTCACTACTGTATCAGATCCCGGGCACAAAGCTGCCCTCTCACGTGCTGTCTGGTTGTGAATATTCCCAGACTATCAAGTGAGGACCCTG